GAATTATATCAATTACTAGTAACTTCACTCAGTTAATCTTTATAATTTCTTTGATTTATTTATTTATTTCTTTATTTAATTATCTATTATTAGGACAATATCTGTAGATATTGGCACAGGTCTTAGAATTCTTTATCATTATTGAAAGTTATAATCTAATTTCTCTCTCTTTATTCTTTAATTATTTCAGTTTCTTCCAATCCTATATCATTAAGATGAATTAAAGTGAAACTTCACTTACTAATTCGCCATAATAATATATTAAATTATCTTATTTCTAGTTAATTTTAACTTAATTTTAGTTAAAATATTATTAGAATTATTACTAAAATCAGCTTTTTAACTTTCTGAAACTATTTAATTTCTTCTATTTTTATTTCTAATATCTCTATTATTTTAGAAAAAAATTAAGATTCTAAAAAAATTATTACTCTATAATAACTATTATATTTAATAAATAAAGAAAAATAAAAAGTAAGAAACTTAAAATTTTTATTAGATTAACTAGAAACTTTAGAAATAGCTATCTGAAAAAAGATTTTATGATTTGAAAATATTAAATTACTGGTCTTACTTCTGACTCTAGCTATTTTTTTTCCAGAGCTAGTTTTTTCTAGTAATAATGGATAATATTTTAGTTTTATCAAGAATTCATATCAAAAATTCTATTGTTTATCTATTTATTTTATATCATTTTAGATAGCTTATTCTGATAATAAAGGACTTTAATGTGATATTTTTTAGTATATAAATTATATATTTCATATATAAAAGCAGTTGCTCTATCATATTATAAATAAGAAATATATTATTTTCCAATGCAGAGCATATTCTTTTTGCTAATAGCAAGACTGATCACAGATCTTTCTCTCATTAAAAGATACTAATAAAGATAAGTTCTTGTCATCAATTATTATTTATTAAAACTTATTTGATTCTGTATAATATTATCTCAGATAAAAATATTTAATAATTATTTTGATTTAAACTTTTTTATTAGGATAATATATTACAAAAATAATTTGATTATATCAATCATAAATACTCAAAATATACTGATAGAATTTATGTATCTTGATACTAGTTTCACTATCTCTCCTACTGAATTTGTTTTACCTTTAGAATTTATTTCTTCATCTTCTAAAAATTTTGAATTGAATTTTGAAAATAAAAAGACTTTTATCATTAGAAATTCAAAGTTTTTCTCAATCACAGATTTTGAAAAATAAAAAAATTGGTTAATTACTCTGATACTTTAACGATAATTATTTAATAGGATTACCAATTTGTGATAATAGAATTCATTATTAAAACTTTCGTTTTATGTTTAAATTATAACTGTTTGGTGGCGCATGTGCATGTACATGTAGTTTGATTTTCATTCAAAAACCACATTGCTAGCCAAATTTTGCGAGAAATCAGTTAGAATTCCAATAACAATAGAATATATGGTATTTTATTAAAAGTAAATACATATATATGAATTTACGAGAATCTAATTTTAGCATTGACTGTACGTGTATTTATTTACAATATGCATTCGTTAAAAATTGATTGGTTCACCCTAACCCTTTTCATTGTGGTTTAATATTATAGTTAATGTTAAAAAGCCATTCTATACTTCTACTTTTTATGGGGTGGACGAGGTTTTATAGTTCCAGAATAAGCAACAACACCACCAGATTTATTCGGATCTGAGGCGTCAACATATTGGAAATCCGCTGTATCATTATAAGTCGATAATGTAATATGTACAAATCCTGTTTTAAAAACCCCCCAAGTACGACCGTCACAAATATCGTCTACTTTACTTCCAGATCCTACTAAGAAATATTCAACCGATGAGGACTTTGTTGGTTGTTGATATGCCAACGCGTGATTATGACCAGAAAAATAAGCGGCTACCCGATAATTTTCAAATAATGGTGGAAGACGATTCATTTTCCCAAAATTTTGGCAGGTGCCTACTAATGGATGATGACCAATCACAAAGATCCATTTGGCGTCTTGGTGCGCGACAAGTTGATCTTCGACCCATTTCAATAAATTCTCTACGGCATCAGGAGTGTTCCAACCTTGTCGAACAAAAGCATTATACATGACTGGTGCTTTTTTCTTCGTTTTTGTAAGATCCGTATAATAGAATGGGTTGGTATCGATATGGATCCACGCAATCTTATCTTGGTTAGGACCAACAAGTGAGACACGCGTGTAGTAGAGTGAAGGAAGGAAAAATCGTGCATCTACGGTACGACTGTAATCCACTTCCGCCGTCACATTATTATACCTATTTTGACAATAATTTAATATCTTTGGAGGCGAAGAAAGCATTTTATTTAAAAATAAAAATCGAATATTAACACTGACCATTCATGATTTCCCGCAACACCATACCATGGAATTTCCCCCAATTTTCCGGTATATGTCTTTTTCCAAATTGTGTTGAATTTTGGATCACTTGCGTTACTCACCCCATCATAGGTGTAAATCCCGCCTACGTAAAAACTATCTGAAAATTCGAATCTATTAATAAATGAAAATTGCATTTGAGATGCCGAAATTTCAAACGTTAAATTTTCTTACCGCCAACATTTATAATAAATTTGGTGTCGAATCGATCAGCATATACACTCATAGCATTAGAAGTTTGCGTTTGGTTTTCACCAGGAAATCCCCAATCTCCAATTACAGAGAAATCCAAAATATCGTCCGGGTAGGTTTCCGAGAAAAAGTCCGTTAAAGGATTTAATATAGGGATAGGATTAGGCGAGGTGGTGTTGGTGGTGGGAGTAGTTACTGTCTTTGCGAAACTTTTATTTATTAGGCCGCTACTAAGTATAAGTAGAGAAAAGGTTAAACTGAACGAGAGAAAATTTTTTTGAATCATTTTAATCTTATGCATGTTAATTAATATTCAAAGAGAACAGACAGATATCTCAAATCAAAAATCGAAGAATGAATCAGAGAATGCTCTTATTTTATATCTAATAAATATTTATAGCCACCATGCCACATTGTTATTGCTTATACATGTATTTGCTTAGCATTACAATTAAATTAGTATCCTTTTTATTTAACAATAAGCCAAGCCAGCCACAATGCACACATGTTAAGCTTTTTTGCATCATGCTTTCTAAAAATACATGTACGCTGCATCGGGTATATCCTGTAAGTCAGCCAAGTTAATATGAACCGAAAAAATTTTTTGATCCGAACTAGTTAAACAAGCACTTTAAACAAAAAGAGTGCGTACTCCGTTTTTAAAATTTTACCATGCAATTTTTTTGTTGCCTCTAAAAATAACCGGCAGGGAAATATATTTGCGTACTCCCGCATTGACTTCATTGCTGGATAACAAAAATCAGAACATGCATATTAGTTTGTTTTTTTTTAACGAAAAAAATTATATACAGCTAAACTTTTTGATTAAAATTTATGATTTTAATAATGCCTTTATTTATTGAAAAACTTACTGCAGCCACAGTTCATTTATGAATAACGTTTTTGCCACATACATGTATAAATAACCCAAAATTTCAAATTTATTGAATAAATTCTTTCTATTATACAACTTAATGATATATAAATATGTATATTATAGCTAGCCTAAAGCGTTATCAAATTGTCCCTCATTAATTGTCCATGTTTTGAATTTTTCCGTGTATTGTTAAATTTTTAGTTATTTGGAAAACAAAAATCTCAATTGCCGTAAAATAGCTTCTTTTTCATTCCATGAAATATCCTTATCACTAAATAGGTGATAGGAAATTAAAAGTGTTTGATGCAAGTCTTTTAACGTTCCTTCTCCTCGCCTTGATTTATAAAATAAATATTTTTGAGCGATTAAATTTCCAGAATAATTCTTTAACGCTCTGTATATTTTAGTTTGAGAGTTAATGAAGAGTATTGTCAATTTTATTTTTGCTGGGATATTTCCCTGAATTGCTGCTTTCGCTAACCAGTAGATTGCTTTTTTCGTTGAATGATTCCCAAACAAGATATTGCCGAGAAAGAGTTGCCCGTATTGATTTTCATTTTGTGCGGATTTTTCATAATATTCCATGGCATGTCTTTTTGCTGTCATTTTGTCATGACGCAACCCAAAGTTGGTAAGGTTCCTATGATTTTCGAATAGAAAACCAATAAAAGGTAGCATATTCTTTGTCGTGTGATCCGAAGTTAAATGTTGGACAAATTCATGAATATTTACAAATTCATCTTCGAGAATCTGCTCAATGCGAGCAATTATAATGTCTTTTTCAACGTCACGATCAATCCAATGATAAAATTTCTCAAGTGTAGAATTCACGCATTGATATTTTTCGCAGATGAACTGTGGACAGATTGCCTTCTTAGTAGTATTCATCACATTGGTTGTAGATTCAAAACATTGAGCGTAAATAAGTTCTCAATTCGAAAACAGCAAATGTTGTTGCTATATACCGATGTGTATGCATGCATGATTCACATGTTGGTGTGTATTTATTTTTTGTTAGGAATTTTTTTCCATTATTTACATCACCATCAATTTGTGTAGCCAATAATAATACTTGTATCACGTATATGCCCATTAATAGTTTAGGTTGTGTTGTTTATTATCCGTTATGACTCCATACTTTGTTACTACATGTAAAGGCTTTTTACTGAAAACCAGATTTTTCGGGTAATTCGGACTACGTAATCATATTCAAAATGAGGCGGAACATAAACAATCGCATACAAAGTTTCGTAGATGATTAAATAACGATAATAAAATCTTTTAGCGAATCATGTCTAAAACTTATATTGCGCCAAGATGATTGTTTTTTTGCGCGTTGACGCGAAATTATTGCTAACATATCACAATGTTTTACGAATACATGTAAAAAGGATTTTCCCCTCAACTTTTTGTTTATTGACCATGCGTTGGAGTTTAGTTATGATACGCATTGTCAGAATAAATGCGTTTGTGTTAGATATGATTTAATTTGCAGCCGCTGTCCATGCATATGACTAATTTACAAGATTACACGTACATGTTAGGCCAATTCTATCGTCTTTAAATAAAAGTTTGCACAAAACGATAAATTATTTACACTGAATATTAAATTCATATCATAATTTGGGTCTTCACACATTAAAACAAAAAGTCAAACAATGGGTCGACTCATGAAAAACACACAAAACAGAAGTTAACTTAGCGTCACATTTCATATTCCTATACGCGCGTTTTATAAAGTGAACTCGAAGTTGGCAATCGTATACCATGATTATATTTATTATTGTAATGAGTGTTCAATATCCAAGATTGAATATAAATCACATGTATATCAAATAATTAAATGTCGGTATAAAAAGTACTTATAAAAATATATACAAAAAATATATGTAAATATATTTCTGGCGGAAAATAGTGACGGACATGTTTTTTTTCCTATATATTAATGAAGAATTATTTTGCGGAATTTGGTATCAAAAGGGTGAATTGGTAATATTTAACAGCTAAAAAAAATAAAAAATATTTTTAAAAACTTTGAAAAGAATTTTATAAAAATATATTTTTAATACATAAAGAATATATTTATTTGATAAAATATGATAAAAAATTTTAATTATTATAAATATATTTATTATATTAATAAAAGAGTAATTTTATAAATATGTAAAATATACAGTGGCAATCAAAAATAATGCAACGCTTAAATTTTTTACTAATTATAATTAGTAAAACACGTATTTTTCCTTACATATAAAAGTTTTTAATTTTACTAACAAATATTTTTTATTTTTAGCTCAA